ATTCCGTTGAGACAACACACCGCCAAGTCCTATATCACTTGCGTGTGTGTCAACTATAAATTCTTTGCTTGCATCAGGGTATCCCAAAATAGGTGTTTTGCACAGACGGTCCTTGAGCTCCTGGAATGCGATATTGCAACTTTCATCCCAGCAGAAATGTCGCTTTTCCTCGGTTAGCTTGTGCAGAGGTTTGGCTATATCTGCAAAGTTCTTCACAAATCGCCGATAATAGGAGCACAAACCCAAAAATGCTCTAACCTGCGTCTTGTCTTTTGGAACCGGCCAATCCTTGACAGCGGCGATTTTCTCCGGATCCGTACGGATACCTTCTTCCGACTACATACCCCACAAAGTTGACTTGCCGTTTGAATAGTGAACATTTCTTCGGACTCAACTTGAGGATGGCACTCTGAATCTTCATGAGCACGCGTTCGAGGTTCTGAAGGTGTTCCTCAAACGTACGGCCCACGATGATGATGTCATCCAAGTAGACCAGACAGGCATCGCCAATTAGCCCAGTAGTACAAGCTCCATCAGCCTTTCAAACGTTGCTGGAGCGTTGCACAACCCAAACGGCATTACTTTGAATTGCCACAGACCCTTTCCGGTCGAGAACGCAGTTTTCTCCTTGTCCTTAGGGTCAATTTCAACTTGCCAGTAGCCACTTTTTAGATCCAGCGTGCTAAACCACTTTACTCCTGTAAGCATGTCCAGCGTGTCATCAATTCTTGGCAAGGGATAGCTGTCCTTCTTCGTAACGTCGTTCAGACGACGGTAGTCAACACAAAACCGCATGCTGCCATCCTTCTTCTTCACCAGCACCACTGGTGAACACCATGGACTAGATGAAGGTTCAATAACACCATCCTTCACCATTCCCTCAATCATGGTTTCCACTTCCTTTTCACGTGCTACCGGCAATCGTCTTGGCCGCTGACGGATAGGCAATTCTTCTCCTGTGTTTATTTTGTGTTGAACTAAGCCAGTCTTTCCTATGTCAGCATCGTTTGATGAGAATACATCGGCGTACTTGAGTAACAACTTCTTCGCCTTGACCAATTCGTTCGGGGAGAGAACACTGCGACAGTCTTCCAAAAGTGTGGTCACTCTCGTTTCTCCATCCTTGCTGGGGGTCCCACTCGATATATATTGGCACCGACGTAACCAATCCACTTCCTCACAAGTACCAACAAGTGTGCCTTTTTCTATAATCTGTTCCTGGCCACAAAGGTTCAGCACACGTACTCCTGAGATGTTAGTGGTTCTGACCAAGATTCAAGCCACTTTCCATGGAAGGTCATTTTCTAATCTTTCCACGAGTACACAACGATGAGGTTGCCCAGGATTCCGAGGAAGACTAACCGGCACAATCGTTTCCGATCTCGGCGGAAGAACAATCTTCTCAAGGCTGTACACGTTCCTGGTAACGCTCCTTCCACAAAAAGTTCTTCTTGTCCACATCTCAAGACACCTTGCTTAACGTCAATCGCACAACAATTCTTCCTCATGAAGTCTAGGCCCAGGATGCAGTCGTCCATTATATCATCCACGATGACATTATGCAGGTAGATCATGTTGCCTAGCTTCATCTCCATCTCTTTCTCTCCACGGACGGGTATACGCTGACCGGTGACTGTTACCAAATTGATGCGTTCTCGGTTGTATGCGGAGTCCCCAAGGAACTGACTTATTAGTTGGGAACTAACAACCGTACGAGATGCTCCAGTGTCTATGGTCAGTTTACGCGGCATTCCGTTGACCTCGCCCTTGATGATCAGAATGTTCCCATCGTGGGTTTGTTAGATCGAGATCCTTGGGGCTCTTTTAACATCAGCCAGCACCCGCCCCGCAGTTCTGGCTTTTACTCGTTTCCCTGCTGCTGCTGGGCGGTGCTGTTGGCCGCACTACCCTCCTGAGATCGTTCACCTTCCCTTTCTAGGGTTCGCTTAGGGCAGCTGGATCGAAGGTGGGCCCTTTTCCCCACAGCCATAGCACCTAGGGCTGTATCCTTTGTTGCGGTCGCGAACTGTAGCTACTGCAACCTCCCTGACGCGATGGGAACGATGATCCTGCCGCACGGCTTCCACCTCCAGTGCATGGGCCAAGGCGTCCTTAAGCGTTTCGTGGTGCCCGAGCCTCACAGCAGCTCTGACTTCCAGGTCGCGGATGCCGTCGATCAATGTCTGCACCAGGTTCCTTTCAATGAGCGCAGGTACAGACCGGTATGCTTTTCGCACCAGCTTCTCCACCTCTAGAGCCCACTGCTGCAGGTTTTCGTTGATGCGCTGGACGCTATTTTTAAGCTGCGCACGAAAGACGTGTTCCAGGTGAGCGTCGCCATATCTCGCCTCCAATGCCTCAAGGAGTTGCTCATAAGTCACTTCCTCACCAAGAGCTTCCAGAACTGTTAAGGCCTGGTCGCGCAGGCCTTGTGTGAGAGCAGTCATGGCCTGACTTTTATTCCAGCCGTTCGCCTTCATAACATTCTTGAACTGGATTTTGAAGGCTGACCAGGAAGAGGTACCGTCGAACGGTGGCACCTTGAACCCACGTAGCGAAGGTGTTGTAGCTACTACGGGAACTGTAGCTCCATCTCCAAGTTTGAGTTCGTCCAGTGATTTCTTCATGTCAGCCATTACGTTGTCAACCCGATTGTTTACTTGGTCGATTCGGTTTTCAGCTTTCGCGATTTGGGTTTCAGCTTCCGACAGGCGGTTGTCATGCTGACCAACCCTATCCTCCTTTATCTCCTTCCCGAAGGTAGCGTGAAGGTCCTTCATGAGGAGCATCTGCTCTTCCAACAAACGGGCCTGTTCCTCTTGTCCACCCCGCAACTGCTCCTCCAAACGACGAACCTGATCTTCCTGTCGGCGGGCCTGTTCCTCCTGTCCGCCCCGCAGCTGCTCTTTCAACCAATGGGCCTGTTCCTCCTGTCGGCGAGCCTGTTCCTCCTGCTGCTCTTTCAACAGACGGGCCAGTTCCCCTCGTCCGCGCTGTAGCTGCTCCTGTAGCATCGCCATCAGGGCACCTAAGTCAGGTGCTGCAGATGTAGGAGCTACTGACGGGCCCGCAGCCTCCGTGGCTGGAAGTTGGCCCTCCGATGTCTGCGGCGTTGCACCACCAAATCTCCTCTGGTCCGTCTCATACTGGCATTGACTGCGGGTACGGACATCCTCCGTTTCCTCCTTAGGTAAAATCGGCATGATTTTATCCCACTTCTGACACCAATTGTTACGAGCTTGAGGTTCGTGACAATAAAAATTGCCGATAGAATTACCAAAATTGACACTTTTATTTTCTTTACACCAATTAAAACTTAAAACACTAACAATTAATCACACTGATTCACTTGATTCCGCTCCGAAGCTTCGCTTGTCTCGCCAAATTCAATACTTCCCCGATCGTACCTTGCAGCACCTATAAATACACATTAGTACCGAATCATCCAGAACATTCAAGTAAATACGCGCACCAATCGACAAAGCGCCGAAAGTTCGAGAGTCAGCTTCCAGAAGCTTAGTTCTTCGTTTCGACAACAGATGGCGCTGTCGGTTGAAAGATTAGTGATGTCATTTTCTGGAAAGCTCTCCCCTCGCTCCGTTACCCGACACTAGATGGCGCTAGTGCCAGATGTCAACTTAGCCACGCAACAGTATTTAAAAAAACCTTAGGGTAGATTAATAAAATAACAATATAAAATCAATGTATGAGACAGAGCTAATGTCGGTACATTAAATATTATCTGTCTTGCGTACGTCTTGAGTACACGAGGCATTGAATTTCATTTTATATGAATATTAATACGTTCATATTTACTACCAAAATGTATATAATATTATTGCTCAAAGTTTATTAAAAACGCAATATAAAATCTATATTTGAAACAGAACGAGTCTATACATTACATATCTGCCTTGCGGTGCCATGAGGTGTTATGTGAGGCATTGGATTCGATTTCACATAAATATTCGTATGTTTTTTTTTTTCTCTACAAAAATGTATGCAAGGGTTATTATATTATGTATAATTAAATCGCAAATGGTGTGTAGTAACGCGTAACGGTGAAATAGATTTATGTTATTTTATTATTATTATTTAGTAAATTATTATTTTATTTTCGATATTATTATAAATTCTTAAGCATTTGATATTATTTTTTTATTTTTTTTATTTTACAACAACTAAAATACATACTAAAAAAGTTCATAAATACAGTGCAACATAAACCATATATAAGATTTTTTCTGCCCACTGCAGTTCGCCGTTCTTTCGAGCGCAAACATTTTAATATTATTTAGAGTAAGGAGGTAGTTCGCTCATTTTAGATGTGTTGTAGTGGCTATTTAGATAGATTTAGTTACAGGGTGTTTGGAGGAAATGTAATTTTATATTTTTGGAATATACATATGGTAATTATATTAAAAATATAGTAAGTATGTTAGTTTTTAGTTATGTTAGTTGATTCAAAAAGTATGTTTTTAATTTGTATGTAATATTTTTGTGATTGATATTTTCCTTCAAGGTTTTAGGTAGTTTATTAATTAATTTAGGAATAATAATCTTATTTTGATGATCGCCATACATATTATGTGTTTTAGCTATAATTAATTTAAGGTTTGTACGTAGGTATGACTTGTAATTTTGTATTAAAGAACTGTTCTACAAGTAAAGTAAGTTTTAATTTTTCTTCTATTAGCAGGATACCACAGTATTTAAATAATTTGTTGTAATTGTCCTTATATTGTTGTTTGAATTTAGGGGGGACAATTGTTTTGATGATTCTAAGTTGTAATTCATGTATTCTACAAAGATGCGATTTCCAGGTTCTACCATAACTACTTAATCCGTATTGTATTATTGATTCGGCCATAGCCTTATAAAGGGACAATAGTGTAGGAAAGGGAACTTTATACCTAACAACAGAAAATTTGGCACGTATGGCCCTTAACTTATCACACACTTTATTAATATCGTGCGTCCATTTAAATCGACTGTCTATTATGAGTTCAAGGTAAGGTTGTCGTCTACTAATTCAATATGACTACAATTACAAGTCTGGTTAGAAATGTTATTACGGAGACATTTAATTAACATTAATAATGATTTATAATTTTAGTATTAAAATAGATTTAAATGAACGTAATTTTACCCTATGTTCCTTGTCCTGACACACCTCTCTCGCCTCCTTAACATCCATATACCTACGCACACATGCTCGTCGGTTAAGGGTACTTCTAATTTGGCCCGTTTTTAATAAATCGCCATTTCGGTCGATACATTTTCGTCTAGGACGTCCCTTTCCGACTCGACCATTCACTTCTGCAACATAAATTTTCTTTGTCACTCTTTCCTTATTCATTCTTTCTACATGACTAAACCACCGAAGCATTCCTTTCTTAATCCTGGTCACAACATCATCTTGCAAACCACACTCTTCTCTTATCACACAATTTCTCACCCTGTCATTCAGATTCAGCCCTAACATACTCCTTAATGACCTCATTTCTACTGCGTTCATTCTACTCTCGTGCTTCTTCTGCCACACCCAATTTTTACTACCATACGAGGGCGGCACTGAAAATTTCGGGAACCAAGGAAGTGACACAACATTACTCTTTAAAAATGTATTTATTGCTTTTCGAAGTATTCTTCGCGAAATTTGACACATTTTTCCATACGATGGAACCAATCATTGAAGCAACCATTCCATTCGGAAGTTGGGGTCTCCAAAATGGCCGTTTTGTAGGCGTCCGCAGCTTCTTCAGGTGATGAAAATCTCTGTCCACGCAGTTTATTTTTTATTTTAGGGAAAGTATAGAAATCATTAGGGTTTAGGTCGGGGCTGTACGGTGGATGGTCTAATAATTCTATGTTTTCTTGCTCTAAAAACTCTTTTGTTCTGTGTGCGGTGTGAGAACTAGCATTGTCGTGATGGAGGATGATGCGGCGGTTGCAGTTCTCTTTACGGAGTTCAGAAACGACCTGTGGCAAACAAATGATAGCATACCATTCTGCACTGCACTGATTCTTTGTCCCTCAAGAGGAATAGTCGTAACATGGCCGGTTTTGGAGACAAACTTGGCCACCATTTTTTTTTGCAACACTCCATAAACGAACAATTTTTGTTGGCTTAACTCATTTTCGAACACCCAAAATCGTGACTGGTTTCTTATTTCGGGTTCGTACGCATATATTCAGGATTCGTCACCTGATAAGATGTTGTATACAGCATTTGAGGATCCTGCGTGGAATCTTTTGAGAGTTCTGATGCACCAAGTAACGCGAGCCGCTTTTTGCTCTTCACAGAGCGAATGCGGTATCCATCGGGAAAACAATTTTTTTTACACCTAATTGTTCATGTAAGATTATTTGTATTTGATTTTCGCGGTATGTCACATGTCGATCTTCCTCAATCAGCTTACGCACCGCATCAACGTTTTCTTGGGTGACTGCAGTTTTTGGACGACCTTGACGGGGATCATCACTGAGCTTGACACGTCCACGTTAAAATTCAGCAAACCAGCGATAAATTGTGGTTTTGGATGGGGCTTCATCACCAAATGCATAAATCATCCGGTCAGAAAACTGTTTTTGTGTTTAACCACTTCGAAAGTCATAATAAATCATCGCACTTGAATTTTCTCGAGTCAATTCCATTTTCTCAACGACTAAACAAGTTTAACAAAACCTTTTGACTAGACCGAGAATCTTTTTTTAAATAAATAAATGGTATTCGATTTTTAAAACCAAGGAGTTTTCAATAAAAAAGATTTTAATATGACAGGAACCATTCCATTCCCGATACTTTTAGTGCAGCCTAGTATGTCAAAGTTGAGACCAACACAGCATTGTGAATTGTCATATGTGCCTTTTTGATACATTTTGATTCTTCACAATAGAGTGTAAGGCCCCATTTACTCTATTTCCTGCATTCAATCGTCGTTCTATATCCTTATCACATCTCCCATCCCTGCTAAATATGCAACCCAGATATACAAACTCATTTACTTGCTCTATAAACTCCCCTTCTATTCTTATTTCACATATCGTATTATTTTCTTCTCTTTCAAAAACCATAACTTTAGTCTTGCTTGCGTTCACTTCCATACCTTAAAAGTACATTGAAATAACTTGATCTTAACATATTATGACATTTTCATACTTGAAGTGAAATACAAATATTTCACATGAATGATAAGCGATTTATTAAATTACAATCCACTACAATCATATAGGAAATTTCCTAATTTAATAGACAAATTAATATCTGTTAGTCCAGCTATTTTTTATGAATAAATGTGCACAAAACAAATAAAATGTGTCAAAAGAAAATAATTTTGAATCTAAATTAATACTGAAACATCATATTCAGATTTCAAGTCATCCAACAGGGGGTGCTTATAAAATAAAAATCCTTTTAGTACATAATGAATGTTATATTGTTTTTTAGTTACAAAAACTACATATTCTTAAGTAAGACATTATATATTGAACATATTTTAGTTTTTACTTTTGATCATGAAGTTTTGTTATAATCCCCATATCTAAAATTTCTTATAAGACTACAGCTATATCATATATAAACCACATGGGTGACATGTAATAACTACATCAAGTGACATAGCTTGTAAAATTGATGTTTTGAAATATAGGTATTTCTTTTTTGCCTTATAAATAACATCTTACGGTAATTCTCTCATATGCAAAGAGTCCAAGAAAACTAATGGCGAAAAATATTTGTCTATAAGATTTTATCTAAAAGCAATAGATAAACTTAAGTTCTTGCATTTGCTATTAGAAAAAATATAAATGCATAAAATTCATGGGTTAACCTTAAATTTTATGTACTATTCTCCATAATCTTCAAACGGAATACAGAAGAAGGAATAACCTTCTAGTATTCATAAGCCTGTTACTAAATCATTGTGAAAAAAAAACGACTTATTAAAATTCTTACCCTGGTCAACAACTATTATGTAAGATCTCTTTGATCTAAACTTACCTTGCTGTGGCAGTGCTCTCAGATGTATTTATGTATGTAAAGCATAAAAATAAGCCCATTTCTGTATTATACATTATGTCTATTGTTTAAAGTCGTGGTAGATAAAGTAAGAAATTTACTTGTTGTTCTTCCTGTTATGATTTGGGCTCATACTCTGAAATTAAACAGTTCTTTTGTGGTGTTTATAGGAAGAAAAATAAAAATTATAATACAATCGAAGCTTAAGTCTAACATAATTTGGTTAACAAAGCTCAATTTCATCAAAAAGAAAAAGCCAAGAAATATACAGTAGTAAGAGAAAATATGATTATTTTTAACCGACTCCGAGAAGGGGGAGGTGTTCCGTTCGACTGTATGTTTTTATGTGTTGCCCCATAGCTTTTCTCTGGGTGAGCCGAGTTTGATGAGTCTTTTTTAAACTATTGCATAGCTTCTATCGCGGGCCTTGAGTGCGGGAAAATCCAGAAATTTCGTAACGAAAAAACCTCACGCTCTCCGACGGGCACGGAGGTGTGGCTTGAAGGCCGTGCATTGTCTAACGATGGTCTAACGTCGTTTCTTTTCCTCAGTCTTCGACACGGTGTTTGTGTATAAAGTGTTTTGAAATTTTGAATATGAATGAACAAAGTGCATTTATTATTAAGGCTGCTCTCTCGCAAAAAGCTTGAAAAAAAAGCGTGCAAATGAACCAACTTTTCGTCGACACTTACAGAGAAATTACATATGAAAAAAATTGCTAGTAATCTACATGATCTGATACGTAATTTGGTTTAGCCATAATTTTTCTATCGGTGTCACATAATAAATAAAAAAATACCCAAATCACCTCCAAATCGTTGAGATGAAACCACTTTACTCCTTCATTGTTTATCAAAGGAATATAAAAAAAATATCTACTGCTTTGCAATACAAAATAAAATAATTTGGTTTGGTTAATTTTTAGAAATATGTATTATTTTTATGATAATAAATTAAAAATGCGTCCCGATTAAATACTGCGTCTATATCACCCCCGCATTCGTCCACGAATTCAGTGGGGGCGCATCGTGTTGCTAGGTGGACGTACGCCGCGTTGCGAGAGCTCAGCACTACGAAATAAAATCGTAAAATATTACTGCAAAAATTTAATTTTGTTAATAGTGGGGTAGGTTTTTTCTGATTCTTGTTTAATAGTAGTGTTTTATAGTTATATTAATTGTACAGTTTTATTAATGTTTAAGTTTAGTTTGTAAAACATGGGGAATAAGCAGAAACGATTGAAGAGAGGTCTAAAAAAATATTACAAACAAAAGGGTATACATTTATCAAGGTAAGTTTTAAGTTTTATCTACATATTTCATAATATTAGACAGGTGCTGTTTATAAAATACCTATATTACTGTGATTTCGCCACTCTGTGACGAGACAAAGCGCGGCAAATGCAAGTGGCGGCAAGGCGCGGGCCGCGTCGTTGCATGCTGGTTTACCTCGAAATTCACTATACGCGATTATCGTTTATTGATTATATGTTGTTTAAAAAGTATTCTTATCAGTTTTTTTTTGTGTTAAATGGATGCTAAATATAAAAGAATGCTTCAGTATTGATAGCAATTTATTAACGAAATATCTGTTGAGATGTGTCTAGAAATTATTAATACTTATTTTTATTTATTTATTAAAATAATAAATAAATAAAAATAAGTATACATTTATCTATATTGAGTACTAGTTATTCCCCGCGATCTCGCCCGCGTGGAATATGGATTTCATTGGTTTTAATTTTTTTGTGCGGAACCCTAATTCTTTTTCTAAAACAAAAAGTAGTTCAAGTTATTCCTTATATCATCAGCTATCTGCCAGTGAAAGTCTCGTCAAAATAGATCCAGCTGTTTCGGAGATTAGCTGGAACAAACAGACAGACAGACAGACAGACCGACAGACAGACAAAAAATTTAAAAATTGTGGTTTTGTTACTAGTACTTTCATATGCATTTAATAAAAAGCTGTTATTTTAACATTACAAACAGACACTTCAATTTTATTTATTTGTAGATATAGATATAAGATATTATTCATATTGGTGTCATTTTAAAGGGAATATCATGTACTATTATAATAATAAAATAATTGATAGGACTATGACACCACTAAGGGAAGTGAAATTTTGATATAGGTAAATTCATGTCTTTATCTTGAATTTGATTGCTCAAAAACACGATAGTATAATTTTGACTCGATCATAATTATTTGCGAAAACACCTCTAAAAAACCACCATAGTTGAAATTACAACGAAATTACTTAATCTATATGCTTCGAAATCACTCAAATATATTCATAACATTAATATTCATAATTTACTTGCTCATTATTTTGATTACTCAAATCAATAATTTTTACAAAAATATTTTAAAGTTTCTGAGAATTTCTAAGCGCTTTTAATCGTCGCGGGCGCTACGCTATTTTAGACCTTATGAGAGCGTTTTTTCAAGTTTTTATAGAAATTATGCATTCACTCGGATCAGTCCGGCGATAGCCCTTTCGAGGTGTCGTCTTAACGCAATTCCTTTGTATAGTGCGACGTTGCCACTCTTATTAGTTATTCCGCTTCGTAATATTTTATTTATAGGTGATATTTTGTTTATGTAGGTATTCGATAGATTCCTATAGTCTGTTTTTTTCGCAGGAGACAAAAATAACAGATCTTTATTAGATTCGTTTATCCCGAATAATACAGTTTTTATGATTCTGGTTCAGATTAGATTTAATTTTAGTCACTTAAGTTTCGTATATTGTTCAAAATAATGAAATAAATCCACAGAATCTGCAGTTACGAAAAAAAGCAATATCATTTTAGTCTCCGGCGAAAAAAAAGATATATATCATGATTAATTTACCAACTAGTTATTCGTTTACTAAATACGAAAAAATATCTAGGATTCCCCAGCCGTGATACATTACAGATTGACTATATTATCATTTATTTTACTATTGTAAATAAGTACTAATTGTAGATATTGACAGGTTTAATAGAAGTTCATTTTCTTATATTGTGACTTATAACCTAATATTATGACCTTGGGAAGAAACTCATTTTAATATAAGGTTTTACTGCAATGACTGCCAATGGGTTGTTAATTTCTACAATAGACCGTGGCGTATTGTTATGCTGACATGAATAACTCCGAAAATATAATTTATTTACTTGATCGTGTTGAGTTTTTGTGCTCTCACTGCGAGTTTACTTTTTATGATCACTATCTTAAGGAAGAGTGCGAACTATTTACCTAATCTGTACAAAATTACTCTATACTTAACTAGATTCATTTTTGTGAAAGGCTATTTTTGTTAAATTAAGATATTATGTTTGGTTTTGCAGTTATTTGAATTACGTCGTATGACGTCAGATTATCGGTAAAGTTTAATATCGCACGATATTTGACGTCCATATAACCATGAATATATTTATATTTTAATTCCTTGTGTATAACACACGCATTAATGATCATTGCTTTAATGACATTTTTCGCTATTGTTTTATTCGTATTTTAGTGTATGGAGGCCATACGGTGCAAAATAGTCAATTTGGTGTTTTATAAAATGTTTCGTTCTAGAAATGATAAAACGCTTAGAAGCTTAGAAAACGTGTGTGAAAAATTAAATTGTAATTCAAATAACTGCAAAACCAAACATAATATCATAATTTAACAAAAATAGCCTTTCACAAAAATGAATCTAGTTAAGTTTTGTTTTGGTGTGTCATTACACTATTTATACAAATTATTTATATCTATTATTTATACCTAGATATTTTCGTTTTATAGAGAAGAAAAGCGTAAAGAGCTAAAAAAGAAAAAAAACTAATGCACGTCAAAGGGCATATTATCAGCGTCAGAAAGATTTGAAGAAAAATGAAGAAAAAAAACAGTACCAAAATCAAATGCTGAACGTCAAAGGAAATTTCGTCAACATAATGCAGAAAAATCTTACATGGATACGTAATTTGATTTAATAATAATATTTTTTATTTATTTATTTAAAAACAAATTGTAATATATGCTTCAATATTATTTAATTTAACGATTTCATCATTTTTTTACAGAAAAAGACGATTGTGCAGTAATGAAGAGAATATCGTGCAATGTAGCGCTGTTGAAAATATAGAAAATGTAACGCTACAAGAAAATCAATTTCACAGCCAACAACTTCATATTTATGAACAGCGTAATGAATGCATTACTCCCGAAGTTATTCTACACAGAAACACAGGAATTCCTGGCGATGGTAATTGTCTATTCCACTCGCTCATAAGTGTTTTGCAACTTCAAATTGAGAGTTGTGACTTGAGAAATCAGTTACGCGATTCACCCTATTTAAACTCCTGCCACAATCCGCAAGAAGCATATAACATTCTATCAAGCAGTAATGATTACGGAGATTTGGATTGTTTGTACTTATTCTCAAAAATGTACAATCAAAATATTTGTGTACATTATTGTTTTTACAACATAACTACAACGAATGAAGACACTATCTTTTGTCATTTTAAAGCGAATGATGCACAAAACTGGATTCATCTTCATCTTCGTGAACAACATTTCACACCTTTTTATGAAGTATCAGATTTATTGGAGACAGTACAAGACGCTACCCAAAATGAAGCCCATGTTGATGCCAATATTGAACTATTGCGTGATAATTATGATGAAGATCCTACCGAAGATAACCATAACAATCATGAAAATGAAATTGAGATTGATAGAGAAGATCGAATTGGTGAAAATACTATGGATTTTATTGATGATGGTACTAATCCAGTTTATACAAATTATCGTAAACACAGTACAAGTCATATTGATTTTACTAGAATTTACGAGTAATTCATTCGGTCATTCTTGTATTATTTGCGACAGTCTATGGTGGAAAGGAGACTTGAAAAAGTCGACCAGTAAACATGAAAGTATTTTGAAAACAATACTGCAGGTAATTTTATTTTTTTAATTATTCACTTTATATTTTTCTTTCTATATCTTGATAATACGAATTTGATTTTTTTTGAATTACATTCCTGGTGAAATTGTTCAAGTCTGCTCTACGTGTTATACATCTTTGGGAAAAGAAAAAATCCTCTCATGTCAACCTACAATGGGTTTTGCATATCGGAAAATTCCATCACATTTACCAACGTTAAACCTTATCGAGCAACGGTTGATTTCCCCCGAGAATACCGTTCATGCAGATTCGTAGACTGAGACACGTTAATGGTCAGTACGGTATTTATGGCCAGATAATTAATGTACCTGTTGAAGTTAATACAATGGTGAAACAATTGCCAAGAAACATTGAAGATGACCATTGCTTTTATGTGCATTTGAAAAAGAAGTTGATTCACAAAACTAGTTATGTCCACGGGCATATAAATAAGAGCCATATTAAAGAGTGGCTGTCGTATTTAGTATCTACGCCTCTTTATATTTATCATGACATTAAAATCGATGAATCTTTTTTTTTCCGGCAATGAACGTACTTCGCAATTGAATATGGATGAAATAAGTGAACATGTGCCAATTGAAGACAATTTAGTTGCGCAGCAACAAACTCTTTTGTGGAATGATGATTATTTTTTGAGTATAGCACCCGGTGAATATAACAGGCCAATCAGTATTTTAATGGATGAACATGCGGAAGAACTATCTTTTCCGACAATCTACGGCGGTCAGTTTCGAACATACAGAGATGGTGTTATTGTTACTCCATTCATGCAAGCTACCAGCGAACTTCGGCGTACTGATAGGCGTGCTACTGACCCACAACACCTTTTATACATCGCTGCTAAAATCATGAGAGTTAGTAAATGTGTCAACGTTGCGTTTAAGTTTAAGGACAGTGGACTATTAAATGTAAGACAACTTTTCATATTGAAGACCTCCCTAACTGTTCATAAGTGTACACTGGCATCTCCAGAGTATAAGACATTGTTGAAACGAAGAGTATTCCGCTTGCCAACTCCCGCTATCAACTCTGCTTTTTCTAAACGTTTTGGGCAATTCGTGAGAACTCAAGTGTACAACTCCGTCCTCAAGTATTGCGATATAAAAGAAAAATCAGTGGTGGAAGCTAAAAGAACCATAACAAAATGGTTACTAACTCTGAGCTACGATAGTACAGAAAACCTAATTAAACCGTAATCTTTATCATATATTTACGTAAATAAAATATATGAATACAGTATGTAATATGCATATGTATCTATAGGAGTTCTAATGCATATATGTTTTATTAATTATTGTAATATTTGTGAATAACAGTATTTTCTTTACTAACAATATTATTTTACCTGTAATTACTTGTTTTTATACATATTAACTTAATATAAATATTTATTTCATTTTATATTTTATTTTATTTTAAAAACAAAAAGCTTACATAATGTAATAACCGTACGTCGACCCAGTGTCAATTAATGAAAGCCACGTGTGATAAGAAAATCGTATCAGGCCCTCACGACACAGGCATGCCTAGTGTGAGGACCACAGAACTATACACCCTTGTTTATACACTACAGCTTAGTTGGTGTGATAAGATCATAGTTTATAATAATTGTATATTAGAGAATTAAGACTACTGTGCTTGCATTTTATTGTCTTATATTGTATATTGTGATCTGTACCACCTTAGCTGTAAATAAACATTTTTTCATTTTCATTTTCATTTTCAAGCATGTTGGACAAGGTACTTCAATTACGAAAGAGACCATTCAATCTGAAGAATATATAAATAATTGTTTAGAAACAAATCTCGCATTTCTTCGCTGCATACCAAATTCTGCTTGGTTTTGGTCAGATCGCAAAAAAAGATGTTTTTGCAATGATTAGGCAATTAGGGCTACCAACTGCTTTTATGACTCTCAGCGCCAATGAAACTGGCTGGGGAAATATGTTGAAATTATTGTACAAATTGAAAAACGAGGGAACGGAACTTTCAGATGAGTTTTTAGCAGAAATGAGTTATGTGCATAAAGCTCAACTTGTGAATGAAGATGCCGTAACTTGTGCTATCTATTTTAATAAAATGGTAAATTGTCTGTTAAAAATTTTGCAATCAAAGAAAAGAAGTCCATTCGGAAAATATAGAGTAATACATTATTTCAAAAGAATAGAATTTCAACATCGTGGTAGCCCACATGCTCATATTCTTCTTTGGTTGGACAATGTTCCTGAAGATTTATTAAGTAATGATCCCGAAGTAATTAAATTAATCGACGAATTAGTTTCTGTGTCAGCGTCAGAGGCGTCTGGAAATATAAAACTAGTAACACACAAACACACATTCACGTGTTATAAAAAAATGGATCCTAATAAAAAACAAGAATGTCGATTTGGTGCACCATTTATGCCTACAAAAAAAACTATTAATTTGATACCTATGAAAAACACTGATCCCGATTACTCAGAAGCACTTTTCAAAGAATATAAGGAACGATTTAAATTTATAAAAAATAATCTCGAAAATATTGACTATACGGATTTTGATGAATTTTACTCGCATAATGGTATTATTTCTGATGATCATTACTACAATATTATTCGTGCTGGTATCAGTAGACCAAAATTATTCTATAAAAGGACACCAGCAGAAAAATGGCACAACACTTTCAATCCATTCGTATTACATCATTTGAAATCCAACATGGATTTTCAGATTATACTAGATGAATATGCTTGTGCAACATATGTTGTTGAATATGTCAATAAGCATAATAGAGGGATTAGTAATTTGCAAAGACAAATAATTGACATAATGGACGAGCATCCAGAATTCGACATTGTCGATATCACGAAAAAAATGAGTATTGACATACTTCAGTCTGTTGAAATGCCGGCACAAGAAGCTGCTTGGTATTTATTAAGAGAACCTATGGCTAAGTCATCGGTGGTGTCAGTCTACATTCCAACGGTATTTCCTACTGAACGCGCAAGAATTAGAAAATCTATGAAGGAGCTTGAAGCTTTAGATGATGATTGTACGAACATTTGGAAAGAGAATTGGCTTGATAAATATGAGAAAAGACCTGAAGAACTCCGCGATGTTACGTTAGCACAATTTGTTGCAAAATATTACCTAAATACAAAGGGGACTTACACTAAAAGAGATACTGCAAGAATAATAAGATACAGGAACTACGATATGGCTGACAATTACAACGATTATAGGCGTGAGATGGTTCTGTTGCATGTTCCTTTTCAAATTGAAGAAAATGATATTATTGCTGAAAATAAATTCATTCAAATATATGAGGACAACAAAGATACGATATTAGAACGTAGGAAAGAATTTGAATCAAATTTGGACATAGAGAAAACTTTAGAAATTTGTAGACAGTTGTGCCGAGAAAACGATGAAGAACAAGAAGACGAAGAATTATTAAGAGCGGTTGATATATTGCATGTAAGACATCCTTATGACTTATTGCTACGTGATCCAAACTCAACTGCTAATGTTGATTTACAAAATGCATCTCTGCATAAACTTGGCGCTGTAGCTAAAAAAAGAGAAAATTTAATGGATTATCAACAATTCTATAATTTAATGCGGATGGCCAATGATCAACAAAGAGATAATCTTATGACTATAATTCATCATTTACAAACTTCAATTCAAGAACCATTTCAATTTTTTTTACGGGACCAGCAGGTACGGGAAAATCATTCGTTATCAAACTGATTATGGAAATTTACAATAGGTTCACTGATAATGATGGTTACTGCAATGCCTATATTACATGTGCTTCAACCGGCAAAGCTGCCGTGGCTATTGACGGTACAACTGTTCATACAGCGCTCAAAATTTCTCTTTCAAAACTTTTGCCTCTGTCATCAGAAACGATGCAATTGTATAGATCTCTCTTCAGATATGTCAGAGTACTGATCATTGATGAAATTAGCATGGTTAGTGCAGAACTTCTACATAAAATTGATAATCGTCTAAAACAAATAACAGGCAAAAACACAGATTTCGGAAGTATAGATGTTATTTTGATCGGAGATTTACGGCAATTGCCACCAGTAAGATCGACACCAATTTACAAGACAATCAGAACGAGCATGATTGGACCGCATTTATGGAGAAAATTAAAATTTTATCAACTCACCACAGTAATGAGACAAGCTAATGTTGCATTTTCACAAGTTTTGACAAAAATAGGTAATGGAGATGTACTGGATGAGCATGAGTTTCAACTTATTGAATCGAGATTTTTCAAAAAAGAGGATGTTGCTACATTATGTCCTGATGGAGTTCGTTTATTTTTTAAAAATGAAGATGTTGCCGCCTATAACAATTTGATTTTGAGCCAATGTGAAAACAAAGTTCTTTCAACGTCCGTAGACGTCATTATTGGCGCTAAAAGTGCTGAGCAAGAAGCTAATTTTAGACTTAAATTACATAAAAAATCTGTTATTGACACTGGAGGGCTGCCTTATCACATTACTTTTGTCGTTGGAAAGCATTATGTTATTACAACTAACATCGACGTTACTGATGGTTTGTGCAATGGTGCTGTTGGGAAATTGGTACATCTAGAATTTGATGAAAGTAACACATTAACAAGAGTTTGGCTGGAATTTTGTGGTTCAGATAAAGTGGGTAGGAAAAAAAGGCAAAAAGCAGCCGCTCTAGCAGTGCAAAACAGAGTTGGCAATCTCGCTGTTCCCATTGAATTACGAACAGCAAATATTTCATTAACATCGGATAGAAAATGTATAGCCAAACGCAAACATTTTCCATTAACTTCAGCTCTTGCTTTAACTATACATAAGTCGCAAGGTGGAACTTTTGACGAAATGGTATATGAGTATAGTAAAGCACATTCTCAGGAACTCGTTTATGTTGCGCTCTCTCGGGTGACTAATATTGAAAAATTGTATATCACGACAAAAAACGATAATTCTACATTCAAGTTTTATCATAATCGAAAGCAAGCTGCATCGACTGCATCTTTGTTGCAAGAATTCAAAAGACTGTCTTTAAATAGTGTTCAGACGGTAGCTCAAAGTGTATTAGATTTCATTAGTAATGGAAATGGCATTTCAATAATGACTTTCAACTGCCAAAGTCTAAATAGTCATAAATACGGTTTACAAGATTCAGTTACGAGACAAACAAATGTGTTACGTCTTACCGAAACTTGCATGACGCATGATAATCCGATTGAAATACCTAATTTTAATTGTATTGTTCAGTTCAAACGAGATACTGTTCCAAAAGGTGGGGTAGCTATTTACCAAAATAAAAATAATATTACTTATATGTCTAATATTATGACTCCGAATATTGAAATAAATATTGCACACGTTAGCGATGTTAATGTTAGGCGCTCAGTTGTTGGAGATATTTGTGCGTGCCTATGCAAACTTATAAATGGCCTACAAATAGTTATGGTTGCAATTTACATTTCTCCGAATCCAAAATTGGACGAGGTAGAGCATTTTATTCATCGCACTTTACTGGAGTACACTGAAGAAGGGTCGAAAATACTTGGTACAAATGGTAATAAAATTCCACTTATCTTGGCTGGCGATTTCAACTTTAACTTCGCTGATAGAAAATCAGAGCGGTTGACAACTTTTCTATCAAAAACATTGAATTTGAAAATGAATAATAATCCACAAGAGTCCACAACAAAATATGGGACCACCATTGACGCGGTATTTTCTAGGTATTTAGAGGATATTAAGTCGCAAACTTATGTTTCTTATTTCAGTTATCACAAACCTATAGTGTCAATGATAAATATTCCTGAATAACCAACAGCTACTGTAACAGTCTTATTCATAAAAATCCACTAAAATGGCGTTATAACAGTGATTAGTTAAAATGCTCAATAGTACTATTAAACCTGTTATAAAATTCTCTATTCATAAACGTTCAATAAACCTGTGTTTTCGTTAAATCGATTCAAGAAATTGATTTGTTTTATATTCATATATAACTCAATAAAAATAATGGAAAACGTTACATGTAAAAAGCGGCAAAGAAGTGAAAATTGGCTGGAGGAAGATAAGGTTAGTTTGTGACTAAAGTAATTTTCTCATAGGTGATTAGTGCACAAATGTTAGTTAACTGTGTTGTTATAATAGTATCCTTTTTCTTTCCATAGCATTTATTGATGGATTTGGTAAGGGAGCGTGTATCAGTAATTGAAAATAAAAATACTGATACAAATACAAACTCAAAAAAGCTAGCAGCATGGGCAGATTTATTATGCAGGTACATATTTTTGTCTATCAATTTGTGAAGTGTTTGAAGATGAGTCTTCAACGCAATGATATTCTATATACGATCAGTTACATTATTATGCAACAGAAGCATGTCACTTCGTCTCTTGCTGGTCTAATGCATATAAGCTTTTAAAGTCATAACAGTGGGCACAAAAACTCAACACGATCAAGTAAATAAATTATATTTTCGGAGTTATTCATGTCAGCAACAATACGCCACGGTCTATTGTAGAAATTAACAACCCATTGGCAGTCATTGCAGTAAAACCTTATATTAAAATGAGTTTCTTCCCAAGGTCATATTAGGTTATAAGTCACAATATAAGAAAATGAACTTCTATTAAACCTGTCAATATCTACAATTAGTACTTATTTACAATAGTAAAATAAATGATAATATAGTCAATCTGTAATGTATCACGGCTGGGGAATCCTAGATATTTTAAGCTATTGCATAGCTTCTATCGCGGGCCTTGAGCGCGGGGACCGAATCCAGAAATTCCGTAACGAAAAACACCTCACGCTCCCCACTCCGACGGGCACGGAGGTGTGGCGTTGAAAGCCGTGCATCGTCTAACGTCGTTTCAGTTCGGCAGACTTCGGCACTCGGCAGACTTCGGCACGGTGTTTGTGTGCGTGCGACTAGTCGTATGCGTGTACACTAGCTGCTAACTGAATGATAAAAATTCCTGAATAACCTACATGTATTGTAAGATATTAAAAATATTTTAAACAATATTAACTTCTCATTTATACAATAAGAGAAAAAAAATTGTTTTCTTATCGGTCACCACGCTCAAAAAGTGTAACTTGATTTAATATCAAAGACTTAACTGCATAAATAAAATAAATAATTAATTATAATTGCATAAGTTGATAAAAAATGCTATGCAATAGCTTTACCGCGGCAGTCCCCGAGTGCCACACGTCTTTTTTTATTTGAAAGCTGGTGCTTCAAGTGTGATCTTATGTAGATTTAATCAGGATCTGACTAGTAGTTTTTGAGTTGTCCTTAATGCGTATTTGATTAAATTTGAATACATTGATGATCTCCTCCTTTTTATTTATAATGAAGTCGGTTGTGCAATTTTTAATTTTGCCACTTGTATTACCTCTCAATATCACTTGTATGTCACAAAAACTGTATGAAATTTAGTGAATTACTACTGCTTAATATCCCTGCTATAAATTAAACAGCTAGTTAGGTAAAGTATTTTAACAAGAAAATACATTACTTTTTACTGTACATAGTACCAGGCATTCATTCCCTACCCGTTCTAGAAGAAGTGGTATTGATGATATTGAAAGTGTTAGAAAGACAACAATCTTACATCCAAAACTTTTTTCCTTTATTATAAGAGGAAATTATTAACTAAGAGCATTTTTTGAAAAGTATAAAACAAATAAACTGAAATTATATTATCTAAATTTATATATTATGCTTATTGTTTGTTTTGTTGCAAATTGTTAATTATGATAATTTATGACAGTAAATAATTAAAATGAAGCAGTAAATTTTTTAAACATCTACATAGTATATAAACATAGAGGAGGCGTCAACGAATATAATTATTTGATACAAAGTACCTTACCTGGAATATAATTATTTGATCAAAGTACCTTACCTGTAAGTGTCTTTCGATCAAAATTATATGAAGTTGACACATCCTCTGTGTACAAGGCTGATACGTGAGGCTATTGAAATTAAAAAACATCCTAATTTCAATAGAGAATAAGGCTGGGTACATTTCTTACATATAGCATATTGTGTTCTTAATACTCATAAAGAATATTTTTAGTTTACATAATGATTTCTTATATTTACGCGAACACTACACATTGATTAAAACTACTTTTACGGATTTTATCGCCCCAAACATTACATCAGATTCGATAGACCAAAAATCCTCGCGAAAGAACACCGATTCCTACCAAGTATGATACGTGAGGCTATTGAAATTAAAAAACATCCTAATTCCAATAGAGAAGAAGGTACTAGCACCTGCTTGAGATCCTATAATCGATAAAATTAAAACTAAACCCAAGCATACCACTGCAAGACCTCAGGACATAGTTCATTTTGCATATATCGGACCATAAACAATAATTAAAAAAGCTGAAGGTACTTCGGGTTTAACAATGACAGGCTGGAAAGCACCCGAAACGTCGGGAATTAAAAATAAAAATAATTAAAATTAAAATTAAACGGGATAAAATCCGTAAAAGTAGTTTTAATCAATGTGCAGTGTTTGCGTAAATATAAGAAATCAATGATATTTACATTACAAGTATTTTCATCTTAAGAGATTTTGTGTGTTATAAATTCACACCGTAAAAATTTACAGCCGATATGTCCAACTACTGGGTACCGGCCTCCCCTCATTTCTAAGGGTTTTTTTTAATAGGAATGGGTAACAAACGAGCACACAGCCCACCTGATGGTAAGTTGTTGCTGCGGCCCATAGACATCTATCCTCGATTACAAACCAAAATGCAGATGCGTTGTCACCCGTGAGGACTAAGATGGAATGCCTCGTTTCCCGTAAAAAGGGTCACCGGTTCTCTACATTCAACATGCGAAACACAGTAGTATTAAGCTACTATTTTACGCTTGTATTCCGTGAGAGCATGGCTCTTTTCCGGTCGAGCCGACCCATTCGTGCCACAACTATACTACCAGTATAACTGCAGTATGGCTCTACTGGAGGTGTATTAGGGCAAAAAGTGTCCGCCGCGCTGCCCCAGTGCGTGTTGGCAGATTTCACATGTCTTCGAAATATTGTTTTATTTCTGCGACATGAAACGAAACCTATGAAACCTCATCACGGTGTTTTCCTTAATCACCGAGCACATGGTAAATCAGCACTTAAAATTGCAAATGACAATTTCAATTTTATTGGTGCCAGCGGTAGGTAAATCATAGCAACCCGTGCTCGATCACCGACGGTACCATACCGTAAAGGTAAATAAGCGTTAAAGAATTAAATATTGCAGAATAGAGTAATTTTTTTCTAACAAAATCTTTAATATTACTCAATAAAAGTCATTTTATACCGTATCGAAAAAAAAAGCCTCTGTCCTCGGAACAACTAGCAAGTAACTTTGGGGGCCAGTGATTATAGCAACATTTAACATTGAAATACATAAAACAATAATATGTGTTTTCCTTGTGTTATTATGTTTCTGAAAAAAAAAACGAAACAAGCGACATGCCGGGCCTAGATAGAGTCAAGTATAATTTACTTTACTGAGCAAAATTAACCCATTTCCTGTCCTATGACCCCCACATGGAAAATAGTGATTGTCTTATTGTGTCTACAAATCTTACATTCAATGAGCTAATTCAGTCTTCACTTGTACATACAATAACACACAACTATATACAAATAAATAAAACTGAAGTTTCTGTGTGTAATGCCAAAGTAACAACTTTTAACTAAATGAATATAGGTAATATATATGCATATAGGTAATATACGATACTTGAAACAAAATATTCAATTTTTGAAATTTATATCTGCCTGTCTATTTGTTTCGGCTAATCTCCTGAACATCTGGACCAATTTTTTCAGGCAAATAGCTGATGCTATTAAGAGTAACTTAGGCTACTTTTATTTTTGAAAAAGAATCCGTGCAAACAAAATATTAAATTCAATCCAATAGTTATAAATTCCACGTGGCTACTTGACAGAAAACAGCTATTATTATTATAAATATGAATGCTTTTCAATTTGAATGTCTTTTTATTCAGTCACGCTTATTCTAGTAGAGGGGTTTAAAGGAAATCTGGTATGGAGGAAAATTTTATCAACGATAATGACAAAGATACTTGTTGTTTATATCATAGTTCGGGTCAATTCACCCCGATACATTATAAGCCCGGTAAAGACAACAAATAAAAGATTATGATTTCTTATATTTACACGAACACTACACATTGAAATAATACTAGTTTTTACGGAATTTGTCGCGTATATTTAACTTTTTAAATACCCGACGTTTCGAACGCTTTACAGCACTCATGGTCACGGGCGGGACTGAGATGTTCAACGTCCATATGTCATAGTTAACTGCGGTTACCATAGATTAAAATTTAACTTTTGTTCCGATCTATGCAGTATGAACTTATGGTATCTTGAAGTCTTGCAGTTGTATGCTTGGGTTGGGATTTAATTTTATTTATTATAGGATCCCAAGCAGATGGTAGCACCCAGCCATCTTCTCTATTGAAATTTGGATGTTTTTTGATTTCAATAGCCTCGCGAATCATCCTTGGAAGGAATCGGTGTTCTTTAGCGAGGATTTGCGGTCTATCAAATCTGATGTAGTGACGGGGGCGATCCTGTACGTGTTCACAGACTGCAGACTTCCCGGAGCGTCGATTCTTCACATCAGCTATATGTTCTTTAAAGCGGTTTTTTTATTGATCTTTTAGTTTGTCCTATGTAGGAGAGACCACATTCACAATCAAGCTTGTACACTCCTGCATCTTGCAGAGGGACATTACACTTGACTGATGGTAAAAACTGACCAATCTTCTTCAGCGGCTTGAAGTATGTTTTGATGGAAGCGCGCTTCAAGATGTAGCCAATCTTGTCAGTGACTCCTCTAACATATGGCAGTACAGCAGGTACACGCTCGACTGTGGCCGGCTTCACTCGTTCACTGTGACGTAGGCGCGGGACTCGAAGCTTGTTGTCATGCAAAACTTGCTTGACATGGTGGAGCTCTGCAGCCAGATGTTTATTATCACAGATCTCTGAAACAACGATTTACCCACGGTAGCTAACTGTGAAGGATGGTGGTGAGAATCACCGTTTGAATATCTATCTGTATGGGTCTTTTTTCTATACACAGTATGGCTGAAGGTGTTATCAGGATTCCGAATT